CATACTAAAGACACGAGACGTACGAAAAGAAAAGAAAAAAAGGTCCAATGAAAACCAAAATTGATCAATTAAAATCATACAAAATGTTTATTAAGTAAAAATAAAATAGATATCACGTTTTTTTTAATAATTTTCGTCATTAACTGCATGGAATAATGTATCTATCACTTCGCTCCATTATATTCTTTGATCTTTCAGGCAACTTCATAATTCGACAGCCGATATTTCTTTCTAGATAAATAACATACTTAGTTCCTTATTTCAGGCTTAAATAGAACAGAATTATTTTTAGCCAAATATTTCTAATCAACCCTCACAGCTATATAAGATATATATGCCTCTCTCTCTCTCTCTCTCTCTCTCTATATATATATATATATATATATATATATATATATATATATATATATATATATATATATATATATACTATGTAGCTGAAGAGTCAAAAAACGATCCGCGTAGATGAAACCGAGGTAGGTTTGCCTGGTTCTTTTGGTTCATAGTTAGGTTTGCTCTACTTAGTGTACGGAGCACTTAGTTACTTTTGCTTTATTCGTTTGGGAGTTTTTTTTCTTTGGACTCTGAGCTTGGATTCGGGACGATTGTTTTCGCCTCAACTACATGTTCTTAGTTCTTTCTTTTTTGATCCCATATTTTCCTTGTGTATTTGTTTGTTCATTGACAAGCCAAAACACCTAAGGTTTTTCCAGACGAGTATAATTACTTAAGTATACTTAGTATATATATATATATATATCTTCGTACAGACATCCTCAGGTATGGAATAGATTTTGTTCTTGTTTTTACTCTCAGTAATAATAAGTAATATTTTGGATAATAAGTGCGACATTACTGTAATTATTGAACAATAAAGTTCATGCCACTTTGACAGAAAATTTACCAGTAAAAAAGAATTCACTTATCACCATATTTGTACAAGAACGCACAATTGTAAAATTTAAATTCAAACTCAGCGTTGCGTTTGCACGCTCCAAAAACAATAACTCATTTCTAATAGCATTTTTCGGATTACAACAATACATATATATTTTCGTTGTCCTCTTATTACTGAGAGTAAAAACAAGAACAAAATCAATTCCATACCTGAGGATGTCTGTATGAATAGACGAAAGCTTGTAAAAATAATAAGAACTCATGCAACAGAAATTTATAGAAACAAGGATCTTTTCATTCATAAACAGGTTCGGGGTTTTTGTATATTATTTGAATTGTTTTCGCGACGATGGATTTCTCGCCAATTAAACCATTAACCTTTGTATTTGTTTTTGTATGAATAATTCATGAATATATATATATATATATATATATATATATATATATATATATATATATATATATATATATATATATATATATATATATATATATATATATATATATATATATATATATATATATATATCATTGAATACGACAGACAAATACCTTGATTTAGTTTTTTTTATACAATTTCTTATATGACCTCATATATAATTTTTTTTTTTGGATGATAAATTATATTAAAACTGTCCAAGATATTTTTGTCCCTGTTCATAGTTGATATTATTGATTGTTACTTTTTGTTTTTTTTTTTTTTATCAATACGGCTTCCATTATCTTTAGCCTTTTTGGCCGTTTTTTAAAAATGAAAACCTTATATAAACACATACATACAACAATCTATTTCTTGTTAACAGTTAATATATTTCAACCATGAAAATGGCTAAATGTATAGCCGAAAGGGCTCGGATAAAAAGATCAATTGAACAGATTTTTATGTCATTTATCACCCGAAAAGAAAAAAATATATATATTAGATCAAACGAGAAATTGTATGAAAAAAACTAATTCAAATCACCTTGTCTGTTCTGTCGTATTTAATGAAATACGTATGAAAGAAGAATTGCTACCTAAATACACAAAAAGTACACTGATTTAGTTTCTTATACAATTTATCAAGGGATCTAGTAATTTTTTTTTCTTTTTGGATCATAAATTATATAAAAACTGTCTGAATGTTTTTTTTCGATGAATTTGCATATATATATATATATATATATATATATATATATATATATATATATATGTTGAAGCTTGAATAAGCATGGAATAATAATAATACAACACAAAATGTACGTAACAAAATATATTGAAACAATGAAAAAAGGTACACAATATTTACAGGTAGTTTTGGTATATTCTTGGGAAGACTGTTTCTGCAGAATGGGTTGACTAAGTCGCAGTCGGGCAGAGTCTCTGGATTCGATCTCTTAATCTTCCCTCGTCTTCCGGTACCAACCCATATTTATATGGTCGGTACTCCACTTATGTAAATTAGGTGTATCATACACAACAATATATAGGGATTTTGATAGTTATATAGTTATAAAGATTATGAAAAAAATATATATATATGTATGTATGTATATATATGTGTCTGTGTGTGTGTGTTTATGTATGTATGTATGTATGTATATATATATATATATATATATATATATATATATATGTATATATATATATGTGTGTGTCTATGTATAGATATATATGTATATATATATATATATATGTGTGTGTGTCTATGTATGTATATATATGTATGTATGTATATGTTTATTATATGTGTGTGTGTGTGTGTGTGTTTTAATTTATTGCTTAATTAATGGCTATCCATATTTGAGTAGATGCCCTGTTGTTATTTATTAAACAATATATTTATTTAAAGACACGCTTGAAGATGAAATGGAACTAATGTCTTTAATTTAATTACAAAAATTAAATTCGGGGCTTTTTAGCTTCCATTTTTTGAAACATGGTTAAAATTGTGTAGCGGAAAAAACATATTTTAAATCAGTTAATTAATTTTTTTTATTGAAATTTTCATTTGAATACGGAATTACACAAACACATACTCACAAGATATACTCACACACGCACACAGTCACCCCCCACACACAGACACACAGACACACACACACACACACACACACACACACACACATATATATATATATATATATATATATATATATATATAATCATCAGTAAAAATGAAAATAGGAAAACTAGTATTTGCTGGATTGTTTCGTCCAATGTGTACTTTATCAAAGCAAAATACGAAATGTATTTAAGGTAACTAATAAAAAGAAAAAAAAAACAGAATGTTCCTAGCAACTGGAATGTAGAGAACGCTATTTTCATTATATCTGTGTTGATGTATTCCTCCATTTTCTTTTGATTTTATCAATCTGTTGTGTACATTTGTTTGTGAGAGCAATAATTTTGTTAAGAAAGGTGAAATGGGGAAAAATGCTGGACCTAGATTAATATTTGGGTAATATTCTATGCCGGCACTCTCTAGAATTGTCATTCTGAGTGAGTTATTTTCTTTTTTTATGAGCGTACCATTTTTAGCATCAAAATAATGGTTGAATTTATTTCTATGTATGACTAGTGCATTAGCTAAGTTGTTTTTTGTGAGGTCTCTTTTGTGCATATAAATGCGTTTTTTTTAAACTTCTACTTGTTTCTTCAATATATTGGGAGGAACAGTTTTGGCACTTTATTTTATAAATGCCTGCTTCAGAAATATTATTGCTATTAGTGTTTGAGGATCTGAGTATATCTATAATGGTTTTGGAAGTGTTTGTGACTATTTCAAGATTATTTAGATCGGATAGGTTATTCTGGATAGTGGACGTGACAGAATAGGTCGGTAGTATTATGTATCTGTTTTCATGTAATTTACTATTGCGGATTATGTTATTAGTTTTGTTTCGTTTGTATATTTTGTATGCCTTTCTTCTTGCATTGTGGATGAAATGATATGGGTATTGTAGGTTTTTGAATGTTTTCTATGTATGTTTCTTCTTTCATAATTGTAGATTTTATCTATTGTAAATACGTTTATTTATCTAATTTACTGTCTTTTTCATATTTATTTTTAGAATTTATTAAAATTTAAGCTAAATGCTTAATATCTCCAAGTTCGAAAAAAAGAAACTGTTGAAGCTCGCATGGCAGGAGTCTCGATCACTAAGGTTGCTGAACTGTTTGGTTTTTCAAGAGCTACCATATCAAGAACACTGATGCAATTCGAGAAACAGGGCAAGACCTGTAGCAACCGTAGCTATTCGGGTCGGACTTGCAAAATTACTGACAGGGACTGACGTACATTGAAACGCAATGTTGCAAAAAATCTTCGGACAAATTTGGCCAAAGTGACTGCTGAGTTGAATAAACATCTGAATAGTTTAGTTTCTACTAAAACTATTCACCATGAGCTCTATAAGGCTGCATATCATGGAAGAGCCGCTGTGAGGAAACTCTTCTCTCCACTCGCAACATTCAAAAGAGGTTGAAGTGGTGCAGAGTCTGGTCTACAGACCAATGGAAGCAAGTTATATTCTCAAACAATCCAGTTTTTCTCTTTTCTCAACTTCAGGGAGAGTTTATGTGTGGAGGCATCCCAAAGAAGCTTTGACTGCCTTCTTCCAACAGTGAAGCATGGAGGATCAGTGATAGTTTGGGCCGCCATATCATGGAAATGTCTCAGTCCAATAGTTGCCCTGCATGGTAGAATCAACAGCAAAGATTACCCGAACATTTTGGGAGATCGTTCATCCAATGGTCAAGACTTTAATCCCTAATGGTGAGACATCTTCCAAGACGATAATGCTCCAATACATACCGCTCGAGTGGTTAAGAATTGTTATAAAGAGCATGAAAGTGAGCTAGAACACATTAATGCCCTCCTAATCTCAAGATATCAATATTATTGAATATTTGTGGTGCATTTTGGAGCAACAAGTTAGGAGCCGCTATACTCCACCGTCGTGTCGTAAAGAGCTGGAGAAGGTTTTAATGGAAGAATGGCTGAAAATTCCTCTGGATGAAGTCAGGGAGCTGTATGATTCCATTCCTAGACGTATTAAAACTGTCTGTGAGACTAAAAGAGGACCAACTCCATATTAAATAAATTTACTTTTGAATTTAAC